GTGTAACTACCATACAGCTTCATGCCTCTGAGAGTTCTAGGTGTAACTACCATACAGCTTCATGCCTCTGAGAGTTCTAAGTATAACTACCATACAGCTTCATGCCTCTGAGAGTTCCAAGTCCCACATTGAAAATGCCAATATGTGAAAAATGAAAATTCAACAAAAAACTGCATTAGTGGGTACTTCCAGAAAAAGAATCCAATGCAGCTGTAATTTACTAGTAGTCCTATTGTAAGTCAATTTTGGAACATTACTTTATATGGCATTTAAGAAATTCTAAGTTATTAGTTTGCAGCTAGTATTAATTATCCACAAGGCAGACATGCTGAAAACTTTTCAGAATGGCTGGACATTTGGACTGTCAGTAACGAAAAATTTGACGGACCGAATGGATTTTTGTCGGACTGAAAATCACTCTATTCCTTTGAGACAGATGCTACCAGTACGATTAAGGTAGCTTACTTTGTTTGTTAATGTGAAAGGTTTGAAATGGAAGGGAAAAAACACTTTGGGTTTTATATAATTTTATTAGTGAAGTATGTCGAAAGATGACTGTAAATTCAAAATTGCGGTTCTTAAAATTCTTGTCAGTCCTTTGGACCGACCAAGTCCAATTTTCTACCGGTCCAGACAAATTTTCCCGGTCATGACCGATGGGACCGACAGTTTCAGCATGTCTGACAAGGGACAACTGAAGACTGACCATACAAACCAATATATCTTGTTAAATAAACTTTATTTTCTAGAAAGTTAATAGTACGTGCATTGATACCATAGTTGGAAGACAAGTACAGCATGGTGATCTGCAGACAATACTGAGACATTCTGAACTGGTTTCCATGATCTATGCTCTGCAATAACTCACAATCTACCCATTAGAATGCTACACATTCTACATATAGTGGTTCACCTTAATTCCTGTTTATCTACAAACTGTAATATAATACTATCCTAGTCAAAAGTAATACAAGGTACTTCATTGTTATACATACAAGGTATCCAAATGTAACTTATCTGGATTGAAAGAAAACAGCAGAAATATAATGTAATAATCAAAGGTTGTTGAAATGTACCAATTATAAAGTCCAAATCTAATCTGGAAGGTCATAAATGACACTATGAAGGTAAAACTTTTGGCATACATTTTCAGAATAATGGTGCTATTACAGGGCAAAAGAGTCCCAAATTTATACATTTGTATTTTATTCATTTAGTAAATTATTATTCTATTTTTTCTTATCTTATAAATACTCTTTTTCAACTTCCAGGTTGATACAAGTAATGACAGCTACAGCATACTACATGTAAGTGCTGATGGCTTCCATGTCATGCCTGTCAACCTGCCATTTCATACCTAATGGGAAACAATGTTTATACATGCACTAGTGTATTAATCAGTGAAGCTAATCCTCATGCAGTTACATGCATCTTATATGCACCTTACCATCTTATATTGGACAAATAACAGAAATTGACTCAAACAATTTTACTGTGCTTGCATGGTAAGTTTTTAAAAAAATGTGGCAAGTCCAATAATATGTTTAAGTGGCCAACAACAAAAGATGAAAACTGGATAAGTTTTGAAAAGATTATCCAGAAACTACCTGATCGATCCACCCTACTCTTCTTGGAAGAGCAAATGATGTTTTACAATACCACCAGACATTTTGAACGGTTTGAATGATTGCACAATTTACACTACAGTTTTACCTAACCTCCATTGCTAACCTCCATTTTGGTAAAATATAGAATGTGAATTCTACAGATACAGCAATCAACATATAAGCAATGAAATGTATCCAGCAGTGCTAAATGTATTATGTAGTCCTTCAAAAGTAAGCAAAACACCCACTGTAACCATTTGCCATATGCTGATTTGCATAAACATGTTTAATTAATTTTGCTATCTTATCGTGTGACATTTGTCATATCTGTAATACTACAAATCCTGAATTCAGCTTCTAAAGTTTACTTTTAACTTTAAACAAGGCAGCAAAGCTGTCAAATGTACAGACAAAAACCAGAAAATAAAAACGCAGGAAATAGGATACTGTCAATTTTGATGCATTAATGTATTATGCTTACTGTTACTGCATAGCCAACATCAAATTCTAATTCTGCATAACATTGGATTAGGATGAAAGTAAAATGTGTAACAAGCATTAGACTGAGTTCCCATACCTAGATCAATCTAACAGGATCAATCCAACTCCAAGGGGTTTCTCACTAAATTGCTTTCAGTTTAAGCAGCTTTAGGATTCTGGCATGCCAGTTTCAGTAGGCGTGACAGACAGAGCTAAGCCAGTTACAATGATTGCAATTTAGCAAGAATTCCCTTGGAGATATATATCGATCCACAGTTAGCGTGATAGGGTCTGGAAATAGTCCCTAAGGCTTCAGGCTGATAAGAGTTAAACTTCGGAAATGCCAGAATGAGATAAAGTGAAAATTTCTTAAACTCATTGCTTAAACTCAATTTAAAAAAAGTCAAGTAAAGTCAAGTTGCAAATATTGCACAACAGGTAGTATCAATAAAAGTGAACTGTTACATGCCCTTGGGAGTTATAAGTTCCATACTGAAAATGCCAGTATGTGAAACTTTCACTGAAAGATAAAATTTTCACAAAATGTACAACAGAACAACACAGTCAATAAGATTATAGTTTCAGGACCATATGTGAGAGTTCAAATTCACATAATGAAAATCCCAATATGTGAAAAAAAAATGACAGTGCATAAAATAATATAATTACACAATGTTTAAAGACATAAAAACCAACACAACTCCTAATGTGGAAAAACAGAAAATGCACAGTGCTTCTGGTGGATGGGGGTTGAAAGTGATATCTTGAAGATGCTAGTGTTTGAAAAATAATTAAAAGAAAATGTAAAATAAAACATAACAAAAAATTCCAAAAAAGCTGCTATCAAACTTTTTATCTAGCTGTGTAATATACTAACATGACTAACATTTACCTGCATAATAATCATCGATTCCTAATTATGTGACACAGTAAAGAGAGATGAACCCAGGGGACTTTACAATGAAATCTCAAAGTGTGTTTTATGTAATCTCATTTAATGCCCACTTGAAAATTAATTAAGCAAATTACTTTATTACCCTAAATCAATATACTGAATTAATATACTGCTATCCATATACATTTATTGCACCATATAGCACTCTATAAAACTGCATTGCTTCCAAAACAGAAAACAATCACACTGGTTTTCCAACACAAGCTGCACTTCAGTCTTATGAAACTTTTCAGTGAGTATCATAAGTAACATGGTTTTCCCTTAATCACCATCCTGGCAGCAGTGTCCAAAATAGGGTTTTCTTTAACTTTCATGCAATTAACATAATACTTAACAGCATAATGACCATCAATTTTTTTATAAAAAAAATTACAAAAATATTCCACTAAAGCTGCCATTCAGTCTAGCTGCATAACCATGATATGAAATCATCCCACTTGAGTTTAAACAGTGTAAACAACTCACAGAAATATAATACATTTTGTTTTACCACAAAAAGGGCAGTCATAGCTATTATTCTGATATCTGAACTTGTCATCAGACCATGTGACCAACATAGGTGGCTATACTTATTTCTTAAGACATTATAACAAAAAAAAA